AGCAATTATTTACTTCCCAGTTCAGAGGCTTTGCCTACTTTCATATTGCAGGGAAGTCAAAAGGACCGGTCCGCGAAGCGGGCCCGGGCTTTGGCTTGCCTCGCTATAGACTACATGTGTATATTTAAAAGAAAATCAAATAAAAAACAAATAAAGAATACATAGAATTCTATACCTATCAATGAAATTTTCAGTGTCAGTTCTAGTCTGGCGGCGACATTTTCAATGTAATTCAATGATAATAGGCGGGATATTCCGATAACGGCCAATGGCAACTTTTCGGATAAATAATAATCGTCGAGTATTACAAGTGAAAACGGAAGCGGTGCATATAATACCGAATGACACCTTTAAAACGGAATAATTAACTATTTTTTTAACCGACTTCCCCGTTCATAGGCTTTGCCTAATTTCATATTATTTATCAATATCAAAAGATATAAAAAATGTGACAAAAACATGTAAAAATTTGACATTAATTAAAATAACCGTCCATCTTCTCTGGAGACACGGTCCCGTCCTATCATACTCGCTGCCTGTCCCAATCTATGGTCCACATTAGTCAAGACTGCCTTGTCTCACTGTCCTTGAACACCAGAACCCACCCTTTCAGAGAAACCAGACAGTGTTGCATCTATGCAGATCGCGCATTTTAATGAAGTCAATGCGCGCCATGTCGCGCATCTGACGATCTTCTCAACTTAATTCAGTTTATCTTCAGTGTATCTTGAACGCTTTAGCCATGTTTGTTTTCACTCGTGGTTATGACTAAAATACATACTAAATGGCGTGTAGCAGCAGACTGGGTCATCTTGCGTGTGTTTTGTAGTATTTGTCAATATTTTATTTTTTCTACTTCTGTTGTTGAGCGGACAATAGCTGTCAAAAATGCCTGAACGTAAAATAATTTTTTTTTTTTCGGTAAGTCATATTGTAAGGTTAATGTATGTCCCCCACATTTTTTTCAAATCCCCACATTTTTCAGTTGAATGGGGGACAATCCCCCATAATTTTGGAATTCTAGATGCAACACTGCCAGAACTTTGATATATCAACAGATCAAGTAAAGCCAAAAATCATATGATAGCCTTTGCTCTCTTTGTCAAGTTGCTACAAGATAACACTAACAGCCTATTCTCTCACTAACCAGTTCCTTCCCGGACAGTTCCCCCCAAAATTTGAAATATGCAGACATTTCTCCCCCAAATTAGGGAGAGCACAGTCAGGGTAACATCAGGAGAGGAACTGGTAAGGGGTAGAATAGTCTTGACTACATGTACCTTGTTGCAATATGCTTGAAATGTTACCATTTGTTAGACAAAATTCAAAGTTTTCGACCTAACAACGTCTATCTATTTATCGTTATATACTGCAACACCTTCTTTCGAGTATTATGTGCAGGTCATTTCATTTCATATTGTAGAATATACCTGATCAGTGTCTTCTATCCTTAAAACAAAATTTCCATTCTTCGACTTGGCAAATAAATAGTTAAATAAGGCTGTTCTAAGTCCTCCTAAATGCAACATGCCTGTAGGGCTTGGTGCAAACCTTACACGAACAGAATCATGATATGACACACGTAATTTTAGATGAAATTTAAAATAAATGCCTAAACTGTAAAACAATCGTGACTTTCTCATGGGCAGCGCCATTTTACTTTGCTAAATACCGTTGTGCCGTACTATAATAGGATATACTTTGTAGCAAAGAGTTTTAGATTTTGCAAAACAATATAGATTATATACAGATTGTTGAAAATTGTACACAACCTGAATGAATCATAAAATGCCAATTGAGAAATGTAGATTCCTAAATATAGATAGAAACTTGCGAATACGTACGTACCTTATGCGAGTCAAACTACATGTAACTTGGTGACGAATTTTACCATATCTTTTATTGTTCCCACTTTGCATTACTGTAAAGAAGACGCAAATTTATTAAACTGTTTTACTATAGTTATCCTGATGCATTGAAATTTGAAAATCTTATATACATATGTAAATAGTAAAAATAAACCACATTTTAAAAAACAAAACCTTGCTTTGTTTTGTAAAGAAATAAAAACAACATGCAAATAATAAGTATAATGTATCATTAGTCTCCTAGAAAAATTTGTTAATGAAGCATCAATTTCGGTCAATATTAAGAATAAAGTCTTATGCTTGGCCTTGCATCCTGTTCTGTTTTCTTTGGGGTCCTCCTGAGCTCCTTGCCACTGGTTCTTGTTGCCGAGTCATGTTGGGTTTGCGTTTATTGCAAAGGGATCCGACACAGTGTTGGGATAGTGTAAAAAAAGTAATTCTAGAAAAAATACTTTATTATACTTTATATATAATATTTAGTCTACACATTATATATAAAGTATATCTTTTTTTATAGAATTACTTTTTTACACTATCCCAACATTGTGCCAGTCCCTTTGGTTTATTGAACACCACCTTAATTTCCTTTTTGATCTTGTTAATCATATTTTATCTTTATCTTTTTTTACGGGTACAATATAATTATCACTCATTCTCCTGTTTAAATATGTATGTTTTTCTGTGTTCTGGTTGTTATATATTTACAATTTTGTATTTTATGTCACATAATCTTATGAACCATGACAGTATTAGTCTACTAGAAAATTTTGTTAATGAAGCATCAATTTCGATCAATATTAAGAATAAAGTCTTATGCTTGGTCTTGCACCCTGTCCTGTTTTCTTTGGGGTCCTCCTGAGCTCCTTGCCACTGGTTCTTGTTGCCGAGTCATGTTGGGTTTGCGTTTATTGCAAAGGGATCCGGCACAGTGTTGGGATAGTGTAAAAAAAAGTAAATCTAGAAAAAATACTTTATTATACTTTATATATAATATTTAGTCTACACATTATATATAAAGTATATCTTTTTTTATAGAATTACTTTTTTACACTATCCCAACATTGTGCCAGTCCCTTTGGTTTATTGAACACCACCTTAATTTCCTTTTTGATCTTGTTAATCATATTTTATCTTTATCTTATTTTACGGGTACACTATAATTATCACTCATTCTCCTGTTTAAATATGTATGTTTTTCTGTGTTCTGGTTGTCATATATTTACAATTTTGTATTTTATGTCACATAATCTTATGAACCATGACACTATTAGTCTACTAGAAAATTTTGTTAAAGAAGCATCAATTTCGGTCAATATTTAGAATAAAGTCTTATGCTTGGCCTTGCACCATGTCCTGTTCTCTTTGGTGTCCTCCTAGCTAGGCTCCTTGCCACTGGTTCTTGTTGCCGAGACATGTTGGATTTGCGTTTATTGCAAAGGGACACGGCATATAATGTTGGGATAGTGTAAAAAAGTAATTCTAGAAAAAAATACTTTATTATACTTTATATATAATATATAGTCTACACTATCCCAACACTGTGCCGGATCCCTTTGGTTTATTGAACGCCACCTTAATTTCCTTTTTAATCTTGTTTATCATATTTTATCTTTATCTTATTTTACGGGAACAATAAGTGTTTTGTTTTGTTGAGTATTTTTCTCAATGCCTTCTCTTTAGTTACTGCCCTCATGTATGTAAAATTTCATGCTTAATGTAGCTGCATGCTTCTTTTGGTTTTTTTTCTGTATTTGGTATGCCATAAAGAAATGCTGTATAAGGCCTGTATTTTTGTTTTATATTATCCTTTATATGTTTTTCATGTGCTTCTTGTGTACTCCATATGTGCTTATTACTGTTCTGTATATTTGTAGAGTCATTTGTCAGTGTGTTAGTGTTTGAGTGTGTGGCAGCTGCTGATCAGCTTTTCACATATCCCATTATGGGGACAATAGCTTTTTACAGTTTTTTTTGTTTATCTTTTTATTTCTACTTTTAATTTAATTCGGTATTAATTAAGTATGCACATATATATATATATATATATATATATATATATATATATATATATATATATATATATATATATATATATATATATATATATATATATATATATATATATATATATATATATATATATATATATATATATGTTTTTTTTCTTTTCAAATAAGCTTTCCCCGCATGACTTTGTCTAGGCCAGCTCAGATGAGCAACTGTTACACAAACATTTCAAATTTTTATTTTGATGCTTGTACATGTATATTTTAGTTACACCCATATTTTCATGATTGAGTATATATATCAGATGCTGCTATTGATATATGGTCAAGCATCATGCTGGACTTAAGGTCAACTATATTGAAATAAGATTGAATCATTATAATTTTAAATTTATTTTGATTTTTTTTTAATTTCTAATTCTGATTAGTGGGGTGTGTACATATTTTAAATGGAATTCTTGTATGATGTAATATTCTGTGATGTTTGATTGTAGTGTTATATTAGCTTTTAATTAATTAATATTATCTTATCCATAATTATATGTGCTTATAAATCTTATTTGTTTTACAGAGTCACTCATAAATGTACATTGATCTTCTTGATCCTTTTATATATTTTCTTTTGTTTGCATTAATTGTTATAAAGGATAGTCTGTTATGTCGGAAAATAGCTTATATAGCTAATGTTTATATTTTTATGTAACCGACTATAAATAAAGATTATCTTATCTTAATACAATGATCAATATAATGATATATATGATTCTCCTGTATATTTTTCTGTCTTCTGGTTGTTATATATTTACAATTTTGTATTTTATGTCACATAATTATCTTATGAACCATGACAGTATTGAATAAATCTTGAAATCTTCAAAATATACAATAGATGATACAAGACAGTTTATGTTCAATAGTTATGAAACATAATCTTAATTAAATAAAATGTCCAGAATGATAATCTCAAAATGAATAATTAGCAAGAAGTATCAATATCGGTGTATTAATGGGAATAAAATTGTGAGGAACTGTCTGCAAATATTGCACAAGTGAAAAAAGTTCTCCCAAAAAATAGGAGAACAATCAGAAGGAACTGGAGGGAGAGACAAGAGACGAAACTTTCTATTACGGCACGGCACAGAAATTAGCATAGAAAACGTTTCGCACTTTATCAATAAAATATTTCGTAAGATTTTAAGGACAAACTAACAAAAGTTTACATAAAATTTCTATATCAATATAGCGAAAATAAAAATTTAATATACATTGGTGTAAGCATTTACTTGTGAATAAGATATTGTCAACTTAAGAAATACCTGACATTTATCAAATATGGTAAGTTTTGATTGACTCGTCCTCAAAAGTATTCGTACTAAGAAAATGCATGGGCACGGAACGGTAATTTTTGTGGGTTCTCAAATTCGTGAATTTTCATTTTCTTGTTATAAAATTAATAACCAAATGCAAAGTTAACTTTACTTATGACATTATTATTAATATCAAAGACACCTTTAAAGTCAATTAGATAGACATTTAACAGTGTTATCCTGGAATTCTTTTCGGCGCTTGATATTAATGCACTGGGTCCCAATATTTACTTGATTATGTCAAGTATTCTGGTTAACACAATCAAGTAGCCTACAATGATCAAGTACATTGTAGTCCCAACGATGTGTATATGCAATGATCATTTGTGACAACAAATTGAAGACATATAGTTGACTTTTCTTTTAAGTTCCTCAAATACATGTATGGCAAACCTAAACTATTTATGGATTTAATCCGTTACTAATCTGATTATCTGTATACCTTCAAAACACAATAATTGGTCAGAATAGCGCCGATATGTAGGTTTGTTTTAATAAGAATAGAGACATGATTATAAGTAGCCTACATGTATTTGTTAGGATAAAATTTCGATGGTTCTTGAATTTGTAGATTGACCTGCGCACGAAAATTCGTGCTCAGCGATTAATAATGATTTTGCAGTAATTGAAAACATCCAGCTCTTCTTTAAGTGTTTCATTAATAATAAAATGCAACACTGTTCTGAATAAATCAATGTTTATAGATCTTTCAGCATAATTTATTTTATTTTAAACCAGTCAGAGTGTGATATTAAATTATTAAAACCATTCTCTGGACAGTTGGCAAATGTATTACAAAATTATATTTAATTTTTGAATAAGAAAAAAATAGTATTACATTTTTTTAAATTACACACCTGTTCGGACAATCATTTTTAAAATGATTTCCAAGTTTTTGTGGTATTAAACTCAGTTGAGTTTTTGTTATGATTTTTATATCCATTGGTACCCAATCTGAACCCTTAAATCAGTGAAATGAAATATGTTATACATCAGTTGATTATCAGAAACTTGCAAAGTGACTTAAAACCTTATCAGAGTTTTAAAAAAAAACAACTTGGAAACAATCATGAATATGATACTAAATTACTAATGTACCTTTGTGTATTTTCAGCCTGGAACTGGATTGATATTGGCAGGGCTTGGACTTGCAGCAATTGGATATGGAGGTATGCTTGTTTTATTTTTATTTTCAGCGTTTCAGACCTAATATTTGAGTCTTGTATAAAAGTCAAATATTTGAAAGCTATCAAGAGGGTTCTGAGTCTCTTCTTTTTCTCATTCTTTTCTAGCTCCCTGAGCATTAAATAGAGAATAGCATGCTTAGAATTGTCTTTTCATATCAATGTTATCAGGTGAGGCTGATATGGACTGGAAGGGACGAGGCTTGCAGATCCTTTTCTACCTATATTAGCCAAGCCAGATAACATTGTGATGAAAAAATAGTTACATGTTTTTCTATTTATCATGTTACATTTATATAAGAACTGCCAAAATTACTAAATAAACTGCTTTTAATTGGTGATTTATGTAGAAGGTACATTTTTTCATTCAAGGAAATAAGTCTTAATTTGTTTGTACATGTAATTGAAAACAAAATGAAAATAAATATTACAACTTGATTTAAGATTTGCTAGGATATTACATAAAATTGTAGAATTCAAAGGCTGATATGTAAGAATGAGAATTGAAACTATTTAAAGAAGTCCATTGAAATAGGCTGGGCTTATTTTGTTATCAAGTTACTAACCCAGTGGTTTTTCTCTCTTAATTGGGAAGAGACCTCCTGACATTTTGGAAAAATTATCGCTAATATTGCTAATTTGGGAAGTAAAAATGCTAATTTAAGTTCAGATGTTTGGGAAAACCGCTTGATTTTAAGGAAAATATCCAGTGGGAAGAAGCCTTCAATAAGGTGAAACATCACTGTGAACTGGTATCAAAAATAATTATCAGGCAAGTGTTACTGGGCAGTTGCATGATAAATGCATAGAGGTAAGCTTTTGTGATGGCATGATGTCAAATGTCTGTTCAACGAGGGTTACACAACATTGCCACAGATTGACAGAAGATAAAAAACAAGGGGAGGGTGGATTGCTAATGTTGTAAGGACTTAGGGCCCACCTGTTTTGCTTTTTGTTATTTCGAAATGAATTTGTTGCTGTGTAGATTTACATGTATCTATTAGCAATAAAATACAATTAGACAAAAAGAAGATAAAAATAGATATTTTTTTCTAATATTTACTAATATCAACTCAAATATCAATTATTTCAGAACATACACAATACATGATATTAAGATTCAGTTATATATATGTTGTGGAAATGGTTTAGAATGAAAGATATCGAATGATATAAAGTTCCTTTTACCATTTTCATTTATTGATAAAACTGATACTAGTGTTATGCTACTAATGCAATAAATGTTTCTGTATTTTTCAGGTCGCTTTTTAAAAAGATATGCCAAAAATGCTGAGAATCTTTACAAGAAAGTAGAAACTCTTCAGTCTGGGGTAAAAATATGTGTTTATAATTGATATCTGTTTATAATTGACTTGCCTATAGCCTTAAAGAAATCTTTCCATACAAAATTTGGCATATATCAAAATATTTTGCTAATTTTTGCCCAGATGACATTTGAAGTACTGACAAAAATAATTTACAACTTTTACTGATTTTGTAATGCCTTGTAATTTATCATTTGCTTAGTATTTGGGTATTAGCTTCATTTCAAGGTATGGCAGCAGAAAAGTACCAAGTTAGCATGTACATGTATGTCTGTTAACTATACCCCCACCTCACAATGTGGGATGGCTATGCTGGAATCACATTGTCCCGACACTTGGTCCATCTGTCTGTCTATAAAAGTCCCAGGTGACAGTATACAATACCACTTGTCCTTGAAGGAATCCTTTCTCAAATATTCACCCTAAAAAGACAATGTGAAGAACACATGACATTACTGTGCCAGCTCATGGTCAGCCTATTAAATATTAAACAATTTTGTGGTAGTATTTTAAATTACATGCATTTACATGTACATCACTTTATAGTGATTATTACTGCTCAGAGAACATGAGCAAAATATAACTCGAAAACTCGTGCAATATCTCATGGATTTGGGCCAAGTTTAAGCCCTTTGTGAACTGAAATATTCCTGTTAAAATGGTACATATATGCTTTTAATGAACTTCTCACATATCTTCCGGATTGTAATTGATGGTAAATTGCCAAGACGTATTACTCAGACATGAATTTAAGTTTATATGATGTCAGAATTGATTTGTATTTATGTATCTTATTGCAGGCCTTAAGTGGGTATTACCGTGGTGGTTTTGAACAGAAGATGACCAAAAGAGAAGCATGTCTTATTCTTGGAGTAAGGTAGGAATTCAGGAGAAAATGAAGTGATGTTATGTTTAATAACTTTCAATAGGACTAATTGATCTAATATCATGATTATCTCCCTTATTAAAAATCTGTTGTTTTTTTAAACATATTTATTTAAGCTTGATTGCAAAACGAGTTCTTGCAACTTATATTTATCACTTTCGAGTTCACTTCCTGGAACCAATAGTACTGGTGTTGTATGAAGAAACCTGGTTGTGACCCAATTAGGGTTTAAACCCATAATTCATGCGTTGAAAGGCAGAAACCTTTACCACTAGGCCATCACTCCCCTAGATGCATTTGTTTTGTGTTGCATTCTGTATTGAAAAAAAGAATTTGATAAATATTGTTAAAGGCAGTGAACTTTTGTATGTGAGAGAATTAGGATTATTTTCCCCCGCCGATGGAATCGGGAGGGGGATATAGTTTTGGCATTGATTGTCCGTCCATCCGTCCGTCCTAATTTCGTTTCCGGAGTAGTTCTCTGCAACTACTGGCTGGAATTCAACAAAACTTTATGGGAATCATCACTATCAAGAGGAGAGGCGCATATCGACGGCTTGTTCCGGTCCGATACTTTAACTCAGAGTTATGGCCCTTGATTAGTTATGCAGTATGCATATAGAGTAAAAATCGTTTCCGCGCTACTTCTCTGCAACTACTGGCTGGAATTCAACGAAACTTTATGGGAACCTTCAATATCAAGAGGGGATGCGCATATCGTCGGCTTGTTCCGGTCCGACACTTTAACTCAATGTTTGAAATCATGCATGTACTTACTTTGATTAAAATTTACTTTATTCTTTCAGCCCATCCTCTTCACAAGCAAAAATTAAGCAGGCTCATAAAAGAATTATGCTTTTAAATCATCCTGATAGAGGTAAGCAAATGTATAGTGTAATCTTTCTTTTTGAAAGTCTAATTTGATGATCTATTTTGAAATATTACAGAATTATCTGTATTTGACTTGAAAATAGTATACTGGTGCCTCATATTTCTGTGGTACCCATAATTCCAAGGTATTGGTCATAAACAACCTCAAGTGCCTCCCTAGACGTTATGCACCTGCCAGGAGTTTTACTTCTTTTACTTTTTTATTGTATTTTTATAAAAATGTTACATATACGACTGAGAAAACATATATTTATTCAGATTAAGAGCAAAGTAAATTATTACTCCATTTAAATTTTACTTTTCATACCTTTCAAGACAATTGTCTTTGTTAAACAACCATTGAGATATTTGATAAATGCTATAGAGAAAATCCCCACTTTCAGACAAGGCTAGGTATTGATATACTAAAGAAAAAAAGATTACTAGGGGTTTTGCTTTTGAAACTTTTAAAATGTAATTTGCCTTGGAATATGAGAACACAACTTTACTCACTAGGCAGCAGATGGGTGTTAATTGCCATGGTGTGTACATAATTGCTTATATGCAAACACTAAATGGAATAAACTAATTAAACTATAATGAAATTGATATGTCTTTCCTACAATTAACAACATATTTTCCATTATTTTATTCTTTTTAGCTCACCTGTCACAAAGTGACAGGGTGAGCTTTTGTGATCGCTTTTCGTCCGGCGTCCGTCCGTCGTCCGTCCGTCCGTAAACTTTTGCTTTAAATGACATCTCCTCAGAAACCACTGAGCCAATTTCATCCAAACTTCACAGGAATGTTCCTTTGGTGGTCACCTTTAAAAATTGTTCAAAGAATTTAATTCCATGCAGAACTCTGGTTGCCATGGCAACCAAAAGAAAAAACTTTAAATATCTTCTTTTAAAAAACCATAAGAGCTAGAGCTTAGATATTTGGCATGAAACATCTTCTAGTGAGTGTCTACCAAGTTTGTTCAAATAAAAGCCCTGGGGTCAAAATTGGCCCCGCCCCTGGGGGTCATTGATTTTCCCTATATGCATATAGTAAAAACTTAAAAAATCTTCTTTTAAAGAACCGTAAGAGCTAGAGCTTAGATATTTGGCATGAAACATCTTCTAGTGAATGTCTACCAAGTTTGTTCAAATAAAAGCCCTGGGTTCAAAATTGGCCCCGACCCAGGGGGTCATTGATTTTCCCAATATGCATATAGTAAAAACTTAAAAATCTTCTTTTAAAGAACCCAAAGAGCTAGAGCTAAGATATTAAGCATGAAACATCTTCTAGTGAGTGTCTACCAAGTTTGTTCAAATTAAAGCCCTGGGGTCAAAATTGGCCCCGCCCCGGGGGTCATTGATTTTCCCTATATGCATATGGTAAAAACTTAAAAAAATCTTCTTTTAAAGAACCATAAGAGCTAGAGCTTAGATATTTGGCATGAAACATCTTCTAGTGTGTGTCTACCAAGTTTGTTCAAATAAAAGCCCTGGGGTCAAAATTGGCCCCGCCCCAGGGGGTCATTGATTTTCCCTATATGCATATAGTAAAAACTTAAAAAATCTTCTTTTAAAGAACTCAAAGAGCTAGAGCTTAGATATTTAGCATGAAACATGTTCTAGTGAGTGTCTACCAAGTTTGTTCAAATAAAAGCCCTGGGGTCAAAATTGGCCCCGCCCCTGGGGGTCATTGATTTTCCCTATATGCATATAGTAAAAACTTAAAAAATCTTCTTTTAAAGAACCGTAAGAGCTAGAGCTTAGATATTTGGCATGAAACATCTTCTAGTGAATGTCTACCAAGTTTGTTCAAATAAAAGCCCTGGGGTCAAAATTGGCCCCGACCCAGGGGGTCATTGATTTTCCCAATATGCATATAGTAAAAAACTTAAAAATCTTCTTTTAAAGAACCCAAAGAGCTAGAGCTAAGATATTAAGCATGAAACATCTTCTAGTGAGTGTCTACCAAGTTTGTTCAAATTAAAGCCCTGGGGTCAAAATTGGCCCCGCCCCGGGGGTCATTGATTTTCCCTATATGCATATGGTAAAAAACTTAAAAAAATCTTCTTTTAAAGAACCATAAGAGCTAGAGCTTAGATATTTGGCATGAAACATCTTCTAGTGAATGTCTACCAAGTTTGTTCAAATAAAAAGCCCTGGGGTCAAAATTGACCCTGCCCCCAGGGGGTCATAGATTTTCCCTATATGCATATAGTAAAAACTTAAAAAATCTTCTTTTAAAGAACCCAAAGAGCTAGAGCTAAGATATTTAGCATGAAACATCTTCTAATGAGTGTCTACCAAGTTTGTTCAAATAAAAGCTCTGGGGTCAAAATTGGCCCCGCCCCAGGGGGTCATTGATTTTCCCCTATAAGCATATAGTAAAAAACTTAAAAAATCTTCTTTTAAAGAACTCAAAGAGCTAGAGCTTAGATATTTAGCATGAAACATGTTCTAATGGGTGTCTACCAAGTATGTTCAAATAAAAGCCCTGGGGTCAAAACTGGCCCCGCCCGGGGGGGGGGGTCATTGATTTTCCTTATATGTGTATAGCAAAAACTTAAAAATCTTCTTTGGAAAAACCCAAATAGCTAGAGTTTAGATATTAAGCATGAAACATCTTTTAGTAAATATCTACAAAGTTTGTTCAAATAAACACCCGGGGGTCAAAACTGGCCCTGCCCCAGGGGTGACATTGTTTTTAACTATATGTGTATAGTAAAAACTTTAAAAATCTTCTTTTAAAAAAGCCAATGAGCTAGAACTTAGATGTTTAGCATGAAATATCTTCTTATGGGTGTCTACCAAGTTTGTTCAAATAAACAAATAAAAGCCCTTGGGTAAAAATTGGCCCGGGGTAGGGGGGCCTATATACAGGTGAGCGACCTCAGGGCCATCATGGCCCTCTTGTTACTTTTGTTGTCTGTGTTAAACAGTTAAGTACCACGGAAATATGAGGCACCGATATATATTGCCATTCTCCCTTACTTGATAATTCATGTATTGAATAGGATATGATGATCTTATTTAATGTTATCTATTATTGAAAGTCTTGTTTGGAAATAGCCATAATTGAAAATCATACTTTTTTCACTGCTACTTATTATACCTTTTCTATCAGTCCGTCAAATTGGTCAAACAAGAGGATATGCTCTGAGTACCTAACAATAAATTCTGTTCATAACCACAAGTGCATATTTTCTCCCACAAGTGCATATTTTCTGATTGGTACTTTAAATATCCTCAATGGTTAAATTTTAACAAAGAAGATACCAAAATGGGCAATAAATGTCCATTCGTAGAAATGTCTGTCCTGCTCATTGCTGCCTTGCTGTCTGTTAGTGGAATGTGGGAGCATCCATGTCCTAAAGGCATTTTCCTAGCAGCAGATACTTACTGTGATCTCTTTTAAACTATATTATTCATGAACATACTATAAGCAAAGTTTGTTTTGATAAAATACTTCAGATATAAGAATATAAAAACAACTTGATTGTACTTTTTTTTTTAAAAAGTTGTGTTGTTAAATTTTGCCAGTTAGTGCTAAATACATCCTTTAAATTCATAGTCTTCAGTTGGCATGCTGATGTCAAGGAAGATATTGAGTAGATTGGCAAAACTCAGTTTGGAAATTAGGATGATTATTTTATAAAAAATAGAAAATATTATGATAATGTTGTCTTCTTTTTCAGGTGGTTCGCCACTAATTGCAACAAAAATAAATGAGGCCAAAGATTACTTGGAAAGTAAAAAGCCATGAAAGTAGACCTATGTGTATATCACCAGACTGTGATATGTCTTCCATATAAAGAAAATACTGAGAAAAAGCAGAGAACAATTAGCGCAAAAAAAATAAAAATAGAACAATACGCCCAAAAATGGTGAATATGTAATGAATGGTGGGCTTTTAGTTTTCTATTTTTTTTTAATTTTTATTTTTTGACTGAACATGAAAGTCACACTAATCCGTAATTTATGCCATTTGTTATACATGTAGTCTCATAGAAATATAAGAAACATGGAGTTTATAGTTATCTGTATGCTGTTATGTCATTAGGCTATAACCACTCTTATCATTCCCCTATACCATTTTCATTTATTAACTGACATCTGACCATATTATCACTGTCATAGTAGTTGTTGATCTTACAGCTTTCAACGATAAGTAAAATAAATTCTGTATAAACTTTGCCTGCCTGTTTCCAAGGAAACGTCTCAGCTGTCATGATCACTGTGGGGTCTTCATTGTTGTTGTTGTTGTGCAAAGACTTTAATATTGCCCATTATTCAAGCACTTTTAAAGGTATTAATATAAAACTCGGAGAATACTTGCTTATCATGACTAGAGGCAGTTGTAAGAAAAGGGGCATAATTTTGAGAGCTATATTTTTTTAGTTGTGTCCCTTTTTAGCTCACCTGAGCACAACGTGCTCATGCATGGTGAGCTATTGTGATCCCCAACCATCAGTTGACGTGCGTCGTCAACAATTTCTTTAAACATCTCCTCAGAAACCAATGACTGTACAGTAACCAAACTTTACAGGAATGATCCTTGGGTGGTCCCCTGCCAATGTTGTTCAAATGGTTCTGGTCTGTTGCATGAGTAGGTCGCGGGGCCAGAGAAGTAGTTTAAAAAATGCAAATTTAAAAAATCTTATTGTCTGAAAGTACAAGGTCTATTTGGTATATGATATCACCAATAGGTCCTCTACTAAAGTTGTTCAAATAATAGCCTTGGGGTCAAAAGTGGCCCAGCTCCAAGGGGTCATAGGTTTTCCTTATATGTATAGAGTAAACACTTAAAAGATCTTCTTGTTTGAAGGTACAAGGCTTAGAGCTTAGATATTTGGTATTTAATATTATCTATAAGTCCTCTACCAAAGTTGTTCAAATTATAGCCCTGGGGTCAAATTTGGCTCTGCCCTGGGGGCCACCGGTTTTCTTTATAAGTTTCAAGTAAAAACTTCTGAATTGACCAAGGCTAGATATTTGGCATGAGGCATTGTGTAGTGGAACTCTACCAAGATTGTTCAAATCATAGTCCTAGGGTCAAAATTGAATTGAAGACCTGTTAACTTCACTTTTGTATATCAATTGCATTTAGTACTCAGGTGAGGGCATTGGGGCCAATGGCCCCTTGTGTACCTAGAATTTTTGTCAAAAGTTGGTATTTTAACAGACAAACATTAACATCGCATATGGTGCTCCTGTTTTCTTACTGGATTGGGTTGAATGCCATTAGGTGAAGATAGCCAAGGCTTAAAAATTAAATTAAAATAGCATTTCCTCATTGTAAGGCGGTAATACTAGCATTTTCAAAGCATCCATCTTCATAACCAATATACTTATATACTTTAAAAGTGGCTAGAATTAGAATCAAATGCTAGAGAAAGATATAGAATAATATAATGATCATTTGTTATCATCAATGCATGTACATCAGTGATTTTATTTCTGCACATATTTTTGCCCAAAATTATGATATGGATGTATTGCTGCATTTTTTTTTCATTTTTAGCTCACCTGTCACAAAATGACAGGGTGAGCTTTTGTGATCGCTTTTCGTCCGGCGTCCGTCCGTCCGTAAACTTTTGCTTTAAATGACATCTCCTCATAAACCACTGAGCCAATTTCATCCAAACTTCACAGGAATGTTCCTTTGGTGGTCACCTTTAAAAATTGTTCCAAGAATTTAATTCCATGCAGAACTCTGAACGGGGGTGGGGGGGGCCTATATACAGGTGAGCGACCTCAGGGCCATCATGGCCCTCTTGTGTTAAATTAAGGGCCCTGGGGTTAAAAAATTGGCCCGGCCCCGGGATCATTGATTTTCCTTTTATGTATATAGTAAAAACTGAAAAAATGTTCTGTTAAAAAGCCCAAAGAGATAGAGTTTAGATATTAAGCATGAATTATCTTCTAGTGAGTGTTTACCAAGTTTGTTCAAATAAAAGCCCTGGGGACAAAATTGGCCCGCACAGAGGGTGTGGGTCATTGTTTTTCACTATATGTGTTTAGTAAAAACTTAAAGATTTTCTTAGAGCTAGAGCTTAGATATTTATCATGAAACATCTTCAAATGGGGATCTACCAAGTTTGTTCAAATAAAAGCCCCTGGGTTAAAATTAGCCCCGCCCCGGGGGCCTATATACAGGTGAGCGATTTCAGGGCCATCATGGCCCTCTTGTTTGTTGTTGTAATGAAGTGTTTTGAAACAAACAAAAATGATGTTTTGAAATAAAAAAAGTTTTTGAAATATCTTTGATTTTTTTTTTGGTTGCAGATATATATTCCAAAGTAACATCCATGGATCAATGAATAAAGTTTGTTTTTTTAGCTCACCTGTCACAAAGTGACATGGTGAGCTTTATTGATTGCTTTTCGTCTGGCCTCCGGCCGTAATCGTTTACTTTAAATGACATCTCCTCATAAACCGCTAAGCCTGTTTCATCCAAACTTCACAGAAAAGTTCCTTAGGTAGTCAACTTTAAAAATTGTTCAAAGAATTTAATTCCATGCAGAACTCTACCAAAAGAAAAAAACTTAAAGATCTTCTTTAAAAGAAAAAGAGCTAGAGCTTAAATAATTGGCATGAAACATTGTCTAGTCAGTGTCTTCCAAGTTTGTTGCAATAAAGGTCCTAGGGTCAATATTTGCCCCGCCCCTATGGGTCATTGATTTTCCTCATTTGTATATAGTAAAAACTTTCTTATAAAAAACCCAAAGAACTAGAGCTAAGGCATTAAGCATGAAAAATCTTCTTGGGTGTCTACCAAGTTTGTTCAAATAAGGGCCCTAGGGTAAAAAATTGCCCTGCCCCGGGGTCATTGATTTTCCTTATATGTGTATAGTAAAATCTTAAAAAATCTTCTTTAAAAAACCTCAAAGAGCAAGAGCTTAGATATTTATCATGAAACATCTTCTAATGGGTGTCTACCAAGATTGTTCAAATAAAAGCCCATGGATTAAAGTTGGCCCAGCCCCGGGGCCTATATACAGGTGAGCAATTTCAGGGCCATCGTGGCCCTCTTGTTTCAAATTTTTGTGAACAGAATTGAATTAAAATTTCATATTTGACCTTGATGGTTACAGTTTTTAAGGTCAAAGTTATTTATAGCTTTACTATTTTAGGAAAGTAGAGATATCCCACTAACCTTGACATTGGCATCAGCTTTTTTTAATGTTTTGCATGCACCAACATATCTCATTGTCTACTTATGATATTTGCTTGTGAATTCACACTTATTTGAAAGCATAATAGGACACTGTCCAAGGCCTATATACCTTTTGACTGATTCTTAAAAATGTTTGGTTAAAAAGTGTTGCAAGCAACATGACTGTATCTTCAAAACCACTAAAGTCAAGTTCCAAAATGGGTACTTGGGGTAAAAAAAACTAGGTCACTCTGTCTAAATATAGAAAGACCTTGTTAACACTCTAGTGGTCACATATTTTGCCTCAATCATCATCAGGTCAGGATGCTTGTCCGGGTATTTGCTCGTATGAGTTCGAAAAAGGATAATCTCCGATGAAAAACTAGGTCACAGGAGCTAAAAATAGAAAAATCTTGTTTACACTCTAGTGGTTACTGTTTTGACCCAAATATGCTGAAAATTGGTCTGAAAATTTGTTTAATTATTTCTAGGTCAAGTTTGAACGTTAGTCATCTGGGGTCAAAAACTAGGTCACACCATTCAAATATGGAAAAACCTTGTTAACACTCTAATGGCCACATTTTTGTCAATTGCCATCAAATTGATCAGAATGCTTGTCTAGGTAATTGCTTCTATGAGTTCGAACATGGGTCATCCCGAATGAAAAACTAGGACACAGGAGCTAAAGATAAAAAAAATCTTGTTAACACTCTAGTGGCTACTGTTTTGATAGAAATATCATGGAAATTGGTCTGAAAGTTTGTTTTGATGATTTCTAGGTCAAGTTTGAATATAGTCACCTGGGATTAAAAACTAGGTCACACCGCCCAAATATGGAAAAACATTGTTAACAGACTGGTGGTCACAATTTTGACTCAACTGTCATTAAACTTGGTCAGGATGCTTGTCTATGTAATTGCTCGGATAAGTTCGAACATGGGTCATGAGAAAAACTATCTGACAGGAGCTAAAAATAGAAAAATTTTGTTAACACTTGTAGCTACTGTTTTGATCCAGATATCCTGAAAGTTTGTTTTGATGATTTCTAGGTCAAGTTTCAATATGGGTCACCTGGGGTCAAAAACTACGTCACACCGCCCAGATATGGAAAAACCTTGTAAACACTTCAGTGGTCACATTTTTAGCTCGACTATACGAAGTATATGGAGAGCTGTCCTACTCGCCCCGGCTGCCGCATCCAGATTTCAGATTAAAGTTTTGATACAGTTAAATATTTTTCACTATAACTTTTTCATTTCTTAAGGTATCAACTTCAAACTTCAAATATATGTTCCTTATCATCAACCACATCATATGTGACAAGTTTCATAACTCTAGCACCGATATTTTTAGATCTATCTCCCCTTGAACTTAGAATTATCCTTAAAAATACTATTTTTTACTATTCCTTCTTCATTTCTGAAGGGATCTCATACTTCAAATATATGTTCCTTATCATCAACCACATCTTATGCAACAAGGTTTATAAATGTAGCACCAATATTGTCAGATTTATCTCACTTTGAACTTTTCCTTAAAAAATATTTTTTCTGTTACTTATTTATTTCTTAAGGGATCAACTTCATACTTCAAATATATGTTCCTTATCATAAATCACATCTTATGTGACAAGGTTCATAACACTAGCACCAATATTGCAAGAATTATTTCCCCATCAATAACTTCACAGGCAAATGTCACTTTAAAATTATAAAGATTTTCATAAATTCTGTTGATAATTTAAAGCACGACTGAAGCCATGCCCTTAACAATTTACGTGCTGATCGAATAACTACAACCATCTGTCCCCCCCCCCCCCCCCCGTTTGCGATACGATCCTCGACTGTAAGTCATGTTGTAT